GTCCGGGAGAGGCAGGGGGATGCTAGAGGTCTTGAAGATGCTACAGTCTGACATCGGAAAAACGAAAAACGGATTCCTCCCGGGTTTGAGTGCTCCAGCCCCCCCCCCTCCCCGACTTAATTTGGAAATTATACCCGTGCTATGCGGCTTTATTTGGTTCCGAGTGGCCGTAGGTGGGGTGCGTGGACCAGTGCTCACATCAGGCCTCGGTGCGGTGTGGCTCTCCTCAACGGCGGCCGCGTGGGTCGCCGCCGCCCGCGCTCCGTCCCTGGCTGGAAAACAGCCGGGCTCGCTCGTGCGCCGTCGGCCGTCACGTTCACGGCTCGCTGCAGACGCGATGGTCGCGGTCCATTTGCGCCGCGTAGTCCGCGTCCGATCTGTGTGTCCCGCTCGTCTGGTGACGTGTCCCTGTGAGCTGTGTCTCCAGCCCGGGCCTGACCGGCCCGCCGGAGCACCGGGCTGCACTGGCGCCGGCGGCGGCGCAAGCAACGGCTTTGCCAGCGGCCCGTACTGATTTCTGTTTGACGCCAATTGGTTTGTTTTTGTTTTTTCATATTTTCACTCCAGTACTTGCGTGGGCCAGGCGTGGTACTGGCCCCACTCCCAGTCATAGCTGGATTGCCAGTATCCTCAGGTTTTGTATCACATACGAAAAACTACGCATGAACAAGCGCACTGGTGCTATGCCCATCTTCAGTTTGATTGTATCCGTTAACCTGATCGTTTGTTGACGTTCTCGGCACTCGGCCGTCAACACATCAGATGGTTTCGCCGGTGATAAAGGTCAGTTAAGTATCTTATGCAAACATTTTCCCGATGATTTCCACACTTTACTACCTCCTGTCGTGCGAAAGTTATCTGGATGCGGTGATGTACTTCAGAAATCATCTTCGTTGGGCTTGACGGGATGTTTTGATTAGCGCGCGGGCTCGGCCACAAGAGCCGCTTATTCCGAGTCTCGGCCCATTGTTTTCGCCGGCCGTCGTGAGCGCTGTTCTCAGCCAGCCTGCGCTGGGAGCGAGCGCGGACGGTCGTGAGGGCCGACCTATCAGGGTCGGCAATCCATTATTCAGATGGTGACGTCCGATTACTGACTGCAAAGTCAGCTAAAACAAGGCGTGACTGGATTAACCTTGAGGACTCATTTCCACACCGCGGCGGAGCGGTTTCCCAAGGTGAGATAAGTCAGTCCGTCTGTCATATCTCCTGTTTTCGTACTGCCCAGCCTCCAAACAGCTGTTGATCGATTTGTCAGGCATTTTTGGTCGGCTGATGTTGTAAAAACACCTCACCGACAATTCACATGCAGGAGAGCAGTGCAGTGGCGATGTTATCAGCCATCGCCGCATGACTGTGCATCAGGGCAGGTTTGCAGGGCCTATCATCACCCCGCTGAGCCAAAGTCATGGGCCGGGCCGCTGAGCCCCCTCCCCTGCTCCGCGCCGCCAGTCGCCAGCCGCCAGTGGGACGAGGCCCGTCGCGTGGCCCACTCGGCCGCGAAGCCCAGCGGTCGCCGGCGGATACCATTGGCGAGCGGCGCCTGTGGGGCTTCTGCTCGCCGCGACACGTCCACCGGCGCCGGCCGAGCGCCGCAAAACGCGACAGCTGGCCGCCGCGCGCGCGCGCCACCCGCGGCCGGCGGCGTTTTTGCGGTCAGTCGTCGCGCGCCGCCGATTGGCCGACGGTGCGCTGCGATCGTATCTGGCGCGCCGGCGACGCACGGCGCTGTTTTGTCGCCGGCCGCCGGCTTTGCATGCGGCTGAAGAGGGCGCGCGCGCCGCCGGGGCCGGCGTTTTTATTTGTTTGTTTGCTGCCCGCACCGATCGCTGGTTAAGTTATCCGACTCGTGCCGCGTCGGCGGCCACAATGGCGCTGGGGACGCACGCCTTGTGTGTGGGGACGGGTGCTCGGTCGCGGCTCTTCTTTGCCGCCGCTGCGGTCGGAACAATGCCGCGCCGTCTGAATGCCAGCGGTGTCGCGGTGGCGGCGTCCCGCCGGCCGCCGGCAGGCAGGGCCGCGCCTTCGCGCCGCCCGCCAGTGAGGCAATGAGGCGATTGTGGCGCGCTCCGCCGGCGCCGGGACCACCCATGGCCTTATTGAGGAATATAATGAAACGTTATGGGGCCGGCATGATGCAGGTGTTCTGCAATACACTCGCGTATCATGTGGCTGGCCGGATGATTGCACACATTTACATGAGCGGCGCGCGCGGAGAGACGCTTAGACTGGAGACCTTCTGCCCATGTACGGGGGCCGTCTCGCTAATTTAAGTGCGCAGGTCACCCCGCTCGTTGAGTTTACTAGCCCTGATGACGTCTGTCGGCATTTAGCAGCGACGAACAGTCGACCGGGGCCGGCCGGGCTGGCGTAACACCCGGTGGCGACCCGTGACGGGCGCCGTCGCCACGAAGGTCGTGCGCCGGCTTGGCCCGCTCTTGCCGCCAGGCGGCAGCACCGTCAGCGCGCCGAACACTGGCCGGAGCGGTCTAGTCCGGTCTGGTCTGGTCTGTACGGCGCGTGTGGCGGAAGTGATGCTTACGACCGCGGACGGCGAACGCCGCCCGCCGGCTGCGGTCAAGGCCGAGGTATCCGGCTGGTGTTCGCGTTTGGACTGTTGTTGCGTGACGAGCACCTCGCGTACCACGTGCGGTGTTCGCCGGCTTCCTTGAACGCCTCCGTTATTTATGAGGGCGCGTTTTAATTACGTGCGAGGCTGATAACTCGTTGATGTTGTTCGGCGGGTTGAACATAACTCAGATTGCACAAGGGCTTTGAGGAGTGGATGGGATTCCTTATCTCACGCCGGGGCTGTTCGTGCAGCACAGGGGCGGATCCAATGAGAGCCGATGAAATCGTGAACCCTCCCTTGGGACCGATGAAGGGCCCGCGAGGAAGAAACTACGTGACTCCGCAAAACTGATAAGGGTGTGAAGAGCATATGGGGGTTTTAATGACATACATGACGGCAGGCCAACCTGTCGTCCGACAGTCTTGACTTATCAAGCGACCGTCCGAAGCCTTCGTGCAAGCGATAGTCTGGCCCGTTGCATCACCATCTGCCGAGTCTTCCTACAGTCGGCCCTGAAGTGCAGCAGTCTGCCTTGTCGCCGGACGATCTGACTTGTCCGACCTGTCGCCCGACGCTGTGACCTGTCGTCGTGGTCTGGCTCGCTGGCGGGCGACTCGACCTCTCGGCCGCGACGTCCACTCGTCACGACTCGGCTCCGCCGCCGTCACGTGACCGTGGCGGCGTGACTGGCGCAGACAATGGGCTCCAAACACAAGAGGGAGCGGACGTCGGCTGAGGTCGGCAGCGGCGGGCCCGACCGACTCCGCCGGGCGCCGGCCGAACGAGCGCGCCCCGGCCACGCCGACGTCCGTCTGTTGATTGAGAGGGGCCTCTTGAGCTCGGACGGCATTGTGCAGTCGCGGCGCCATCTCAGCCCGGTGAAGCCCAGTGCCCGGCGCCGCCTCAGACCGAGCCAGCCCGGTGAACCGTGGCAGCCCGAGCGTGAGCGTACAGGTCGGCGCGCGGACCCGAGCGCGCTGGAGACTCGACTGACGCATGGAAAGATATCCGGCCGTGGCGTAAGGCGCACTCGCACGAAAATGTGTTATTTATTATCTCTAGAGTGAGGGAGTTTTTAGAGAGAGGACTTCACATCAGTCAAAATATATCATTTGGAGCTAAGCTGATTGCTATCAGTGACATGTCACTGACGGTCCTAACACGCGTCATGGAACCCGTGTACATTCGTCAACACGTGTAGCAACATTGTAAAATTTGTGCACTTTAAAGGGTGGACGGTATTTTGTTATTTCTGTCTGAATTTCCGATTACTTCAGTTTTCAGTGTACCAAAGGTCGAGCTCTGAGGCCAATAAGGTACACTGATGAACAAAATCGGGCGTGTTTGCGCGCTCACTGCGATTTGGGATTGTACTGCTATCAATATATATATATATATATATATATATATATATATATATATATATATATATATATATATATATATATATATATATATATATATTTCTCTCTCTCTCTCTCTCTCTCTCTCTCTCTCTCTCTCTCTCTCTCTCTCTCTCTCTCTCTCTCTCTCTCTACTCTCTCTCTCTCTCTCTCTCTCTCCTCTCTTCTCTTTCTCTCTCTCTCTCTCTCTCTCTCTCTCTCTCTCTCTCTCTCTCTCTCTCTCTCTCTCTCTCTCTCTCTCTCTCTCTCTCTCTCTCTCTCTCTCTCTCTCTCTCTCTCTCTCTCTCTCTCTCTCTCTTTCTCTTTCTCTTTCTCTTTCTCTTTCTCTTTCTCTTTCTCTTTCTCTTTCTCTTTCTCTCTCTCTTTCTCTCTCTCTATATCTATATCTATATCTATATCTATATATATATATATATATATATATATATATATATATATATATTATATATATATATTTATATATACGTAGCGTGAAAAAACATCAACCATTTCATTGCATGATGAATGGGCACGATTTTTGCAGGTTATTCTTAGCGCTGTTGCGCATTACGCGTATCCACGGTACCGGTTTACAAACAAAAAATGGTTTCTGTATGGATAATAACATTACCGATGCCACTCAAATTGTGCATATTTCTGAACTCGTGCGTTGTGTACCGTACGAAATACCCACGTCATATGTCTATTGTGTGAGTCTTGTTTGATGATTATCACATCTCAGCCCAAGGCGATACTCCCAGCATCTGCCTTCATGTATCTATCCTTTGTGATGAGACCGCACAATCGTGGCGCCTGGGTGCCGAACTGCTCGGTCTCCGCTCACGAAAGCCGTTGTCCGCCCAACACTCGCCTGGTATTAATGCGCCGGCTCTGACGGCTCCAAGCGTGGTTCGGATCCCAAGCATGACATCCTCTGCCCTTCCTCCTGCACCCAGCTGATCCCGACTGCTGCAGTTCCTCTCATCGCCCCACCACCGCTCCCAGTGGCAGCGTGCGTCGCCTCTAACGCCCCGCTCCGTCTGCTGCAGGAGGCGGCCGCCGAGCGCGGTCGGCCGCGCCTAGCCGCCGTCCGATCTGTGTCGGACCCGGCGCCGGCGGGCGAGGCGCCGCTGGTCGACGTGCTCGACTGGGAGGCGCTGGTGGCGCTCGGCGCGGCCACCGCCGCCCAGCCGCACCCCAACCTGGACCGCTGGCGCGAGAAGCTGCGCCAGCGCGGTCTCGAGCGCTGGAAGGAGAAGCTGCGCGCCAAGCGGGCGCAGGACGAGGAGCGCGAGTCGTGGGGGCGCATCGAGCGGCTGGTGCAGCGGCTCGGCCCGGCCCGGCGCCGCTCGGAGCTAGAGCCGGCCGGCGCCTCCGCCGCCGCCGCCGGCGCCGCTGCCGCCGCCGCCGGGCCCCAAGCGAACGACGAGTGCCCGCTGCTGACCGGCCTGTGCGCGCCCCTGGAGGAGCTGCTGGCCGACGCGGTCTCAGGCGTCCGGCTAGCGCTGCGTCGTCCGTCAGTCCGCCGGTGGACCCGATGATGGAAATGAAGCTGGGTTTGGAGCTGGATTCGACAGGAGATACATGGGTGGACGTCAGGGCGGACCCGCCGGTGGATAAGCCGGTGGGCTCGCTGGCTGACGCGGCGCAGGACTCTCCCACGGCCAGGGCTGTGTCGGAGGAGTCAACCGGGTCCGCGCGGCGCACCAAGACGCGTCGCCGCCGGCGGAGGCGCCTGGTGCGGTCCGAGTCGGCGCCGGCGGGCGCAGGCGACAGTGGCTCAGATGACGAACAGGGCGCGGTGCCGGGCCAGCCACTGCCGCCGGCTGGCAACTTGCCCGTGTCCCAGCTGCGTGGACCCGTCTTCGCCGGCCGGCCCCGGTCCGGAGTGGGACGTAGCGGGACGAGGGCCATCGCTGCGACTTCGCTGCGCCGAAGGCGGCGCGCCGCGTCTCCGGCTGTCGACCGGGCAGACCGGGAACGGCTTGGGCTGCTGCGGCCGTCGCCCGGCTCTGCAGAAGCGCGGCGCCAGCCAGCCGAACCTCTGGCAGCGTCCCAAGTCGCCCGACGCGGCGGCGCGCAGTTTCGATAAGTACCACATCAAGGACCCGAAGCAAGGCTTCAGTGCATGGGCGCAGCGCCACCTGGCCATGATCGAGGAGGCACACAGTGCGCGCCGAGAGGGCGCCACCTCCCTGCCGCGCATGGTCGCCAGGCGGCGCGACGCCTCGGCGCGCCGCCTGCGCGCGCGCGTCCGCCGCTCCTACCCGTCAGCCGAGCTGGACAGCGACGAACATGCGGCGCCGGGCGAGTCCGCCGCGCCCACAGCCGTCCGCCGCAGCGCCAGCATCGACTCGGGCACGTGCACCAGCCCGGCCGGCACGGACGCCAGGCACGCGCCGCCCGGCCGCGTCGCCCGCAGCCAGAGCGTCGACTCGGGCCGCTGCGACAGTCCGCTGAGCGTGAGCTCGGGCCCGCTGGGGGTGGCCGGAGCGGCGGCGCGCTGCGGGTCGCGGCGCCGCCCACTGCGCCCCCGCAGCGCGGAGCTGCAGCCGGCGCCGGTGCCGCGCGCCGCCCTGTCACGTGACCGGCCTCGCGCGCCCCTGGCGGCGGCCGGCGACGGTTGGGCGCCGGGCCGCGGCCGCCTGTCGGCGTACTTCATCCGCGACACGGGCGTGATCCTGAGCGGAGGGCGCGCCGAACCAGCCCGGCCCGCGGCGGCGCGCGCGCACGAGAAGCCGACCGCGCTGGCTGCCCGCATGGCGACGGAGCGGCCGCCGCCGGCCGAGGCGGACGCCGCGGCTGAGGAGACCGACAGCGACGCCGTCGGCAGGCACACCTCCTCCAACACGTCCACGCTATCGTCCTCCAACCTGGTGAGCTCGCACCGCGCCGATGACGCCTCGCGTCCGGCATTGCACCGCGACGTTACGTCATCCGCTTTACTGATCGTTTGCGGCATACGCCTATGCAGATGGCAGGTGCGAGCGTGTGGTGCCTGCACGGCCGCATCCTCGGGAGAGGGCGCTGCGCACGTGACGAGCACCGGCGCGAATGATTCCGCCGGGCCTGTCGGTGCGCAGCGTGCACGCTCACGCCGGTCGTGTAATGCCGCGACCGGCGGCCGGCCGTGTAATCCCGCGGCCGGCACGTGAGGCGCGGACGAGCTGCGTCACTCAGTCGGAATATTAAGCGGCACCCGGGCCTTACATGGCCTAATGGCCGGAGGCCGCGCTCCAGCCCCATTCACCCTCCCGCCGCCTGCACGCAAGCGAAGCGCGGCTGCAGCAGTCCCGGCTGCGCGATCCCGCCTGTTCCGCGCAGCTCTGTCTGGCGCGGACAGAGACGTCTCAATGGTGTCTCTGTTTTGTCTGTGTGTTGTATCTGTCTTATTTCTGCTTTCTCTCCGCTTTGTCTCTGTTTTGACTCTGATTTGTCTCTGCCATATCTGGGTGGTCTGTTGCCGCCTTTCGTTCGCTGCCGGTAGGCTACCCACGCTCCGGTGTTGTTTTTTTTTTTTGCAGCCTATGGTCAGTATGTGAAGATAGTTTGGATTGTTACTGCATGCGTATCTTATCCGGGAAGGATACCCGGCTCTGACATAACGCGTTCAGTTCAGCATATGTCAGCGATTTTCGTGATCGTCTTCTCACGCTCTGTATCCGGATCCTTCTCTTAAGCTCAAGCATAGGTGGAATTTGGGTGCCAGTGATGTCCGGTTCGATGTCACCTACTTGTTTTACGGTACAAATTTACAGCACAAGTTGTAACGGATATCACCCATTCATTCCCTCGTCCGCTCCCATTCGTTCCATGAATAGTTCATGGGATAGACGGTGGGATGGGATCGCCTCCCTCACGAGTCGGCTAGGAGGCGGGAAGCCGCACCCGCCGCTGCCTCATATGGCACCATGGTGGGCTGGGCGAGCATTCTGTGTGGGCGGCCAACGCTCGGTTTGGCTGGCAGTTTGCCAAGACTACCACAAACGGCTGGTGGTATAGGCCCGGATTAGCGCTGCGTGGGTGGCCGGATGGGCGGTGGGCCGTGTGCAGCGGTGGTGGGCCGTATGCAGTGGCGGTGGGCCGTATGCAGCGGTGGTGGGCCGTATGCAGCGGCGGTGGGCCGTGTGCAGGGGGGCCGTGTGCAGCGGCGGTGGGCCGTGTGCAGCGGTGGTGGGCCGTGTGTAGCGCCGGTGGGTCGTGAGCAGGGGAGCCGTGTGCAGCGGCGGTGGGTCGTGTGCAGCGGTGGTAGGCGTGCCTCGCCTGCCGCTGGCCGCGGAGCTGATGACTCAGGTCCGGGTTGGCGGCGTGGGCCCGAGCCGGTCAGCGGCGCGCCGCCGATCTGCCCGCTATCGGCGGCATCAGAGGACGGGCGGGCCGACCGCTGCCAGTCACGTCATCCGGGCCCAGTGCAGCGTCTCAGCTCGGGCTCAACTCGTTTCCGCCCACAGGTCGTGCATCGGACTGTGTCGTCACAGACCCGAGCGGCCGCCACGCCTCACTCACCATGTCGCCCGCCGCAAGGAGATGTGCTGAACTGTCCTGAGCTGTGCCGTCCTGAACATGGCTGGTGTGAGCTGTGACGTCCTGAACACGGCCTGTGTGAGCTGTGCCGTCCTGAACACGGCCGGTGTGAGCTGTGCCGTCCTGAACCCGGCCGGTGTGAGCTATGCCGTCCTGGACCCGGCCGGTGTGAGCTATGCCGTCCTGAACACGACGCGATGCGACCAGACTTGCCGTTTCTTGTTTTTTTAGTTGGTTCAGGATGGTTGCCTCACTTTTTCCACCCGCAAATTGGGACAGAGGATGGGTGGTGCCACAGGTGCGTTTCTTTGACCCAAACAGCTATGCTGTCCACCTCCGCCACCAACACCTTTACTTCTGTGAAAGCATTTCGTAACAGCGCGTAACTAACGTGCAGAAACATCTTTGCAGTAAATCATAAAGAACATCCGGCGTCCGCTGCCGGCGCATACAATGATAAGGTCATAAATTTACCGTCCATTCGTCACGACCGGTTTTCCGCGCCCACCCTTGAGTACATATACACCAACGCGGATTCCTTTCACACCTATTCATACCGGTGCAAACTGGACAGTTTGGCTGCGGCGATGCCGGCCGCAGTCCTGGCCACCTGCGCTGGGTGCCGGGGCCAGGCACGTGACCTGCGGGGGCCGGCCCTGGACCAAGGACGCATAATTCTGACGTCACCGGCGCGCCAGCCGAGTGCAGCTCGTGGGGGCGGCGCACCACCTGGCCTGGTCACGTGCTCCCCCCCCCCCCCCCCGGATCACGCTCGCTTGTGGCGTTCATCGTCGCCGGTCATGTGGTGGCCGCGGCTGGCTCGACGTGTCTGTCGTTGAGATGTTTCTTTTGCTCGCTTCGTCGCCTCGCTTGTCTTGGCTCGCTGCTACTCATTGTTTGCATTCCACTAGCCTCGTGTTTAGCTTTGTTTTCGGCTGTGTGCGTAAGTCTTATCTGAATTGGTTTAGTGCGTTATGTTCACCGATTGGATTCCTCCTTCGTCTTGAATTACGTCTCGGTGTCGCTTTCGTGGTCCAGTTCCGTCACCGTCTCACTCGCTGTCTCAATTGCCGTCTTCATCGACAGTACCTTACAGTCAGGGCATTCAGTCGTCCGTATCTGAAAAACATGATTGTTTGGACACGGACATGACGTATGGAAATGTGATGTATGCATGCATATCTCTAATCTGAGTGCACTTTATACCCATGAGTCATGATATGTGTACATTTGCGTGCATCACTCATGATGCCATTGACATAGAGTATTGAGGTGTTGCATGAGCGGAGGCTGTTTAGCGCCTTTCAATGATTCTGCGGTGTTGGCAGTCTTCGACATCGGCAAATAACTTGGTGTGGCGGGTGCAGCAGCTGTGCTGGCGGCTTCCATCAAATTTTGCATACTTTTCCTATTTCTACAATGGCAAATGTTCATTTCAGCAAGCAGCGCTATCACGCCTCAATTTTTGTCGCACTTTCCACCAGTTCTCACAAGCGAGATGGAATTTGCATTTCCCGTCCTGGTGCTAAGGCTAGCAGGACATGAAAAAAGTGACAAAGCTGCTGCTCAATGCATCAACAAGCGATTGCTTTGGGGCTTCGCAATGGCGAGAGGTAGGTCGAACGGTCGTATGTCCAACCTGCCCAAGGTCGGCCGAAGCCTCAGTGTATGAAATTTAGGACTGTTTTCACAGATGGTCGTTTTGAGGACGCTTTTAAACGGTGAGATGGCGAAATTGCAACTTTTTTACCACGTCCGCTGTTCCTTAATACTTTATTTTACACAACTTTCACTGCTGCTTCTGCTTTTGACTGCTTTCACGCGTCATTTTAACATTACGCAAAGGCGGACACAAAGTCGATTACAATACCGCGCTAGATAACCAGGAAGATCCCTGTCGCGGCGTGGGGCCGGCGACGTGTTAATTGGTGTACGATCATCATGCCTTTATCATGATGGTAACATGCCACTCCATGAAGGCCGTTGCCATTTGAACTCCACGCACCTGGATGTTATCCACGGGCGAGCGGCGTGCGTCTGAACACCGTATTTCTTGACTTCAGCAGTGATAAGTGCAATGATGTGTCGCGTTCACTTAAAGGCTTACAACTGGTGTTGCCTGGACATTGGCTGGCTTTGGGCCGGGAAAACCCAGCTGATTTTGATTGACAATATCAATGGACGTAGCGTGGTTACAGTGGTGACGACCGTGACCAAAGTATGGTTACAGCGGTGACGACCGTGACCAAAGTATGGTTACAGCGGTGACGACCGTGACCAAAGTATGGTTACAGCGGTGACGACCGTGACCAAAGTATGGTTACAGTGGTGACGACCGTGACCAAAGTATGGTTACAGCGGTGACGACCGTGACCAAAGTATGGTTACAGCGGTGACGACCGTGACCAAAGTATCGGAGAGAAACGGAAATGCCTTGACTGGAAATTGGTCACAGCGAATTAAACTACATGCTTGTGTAACCTTCATTGTCTGATGCCTCTCCGTTGAGGTCACGACGTATTTTATCCGAGGACGGTTTCGGAGGGGCGGCATAGACTGTCTTCTGGCATGCCACCGTTGGGTGCATGGGTGCGGCGCTGGAAGCGTGGCGGATTCTTAATAATCTGTACGCGGTACTTTTACTAACACAATGATTTTGTGTATTTATCTACTCTTGTTACAGAGGTCTGATATTAATCCGTAAAGACGACCCAGATTGGGCAGGTCTATGGTTAGCGGTTGATTATGCGCGCTGGCGCAGCACATGGACCCATACTTAGCAGTCATCCTCCATTTCCATCGCCCCAATGTGTTGGACTCCCATCGCTGCGACAGCAAATCGTCGCCACTAGTAACATTACGGTTAGCGCCGTCGCTGCGTGTGACTGTCACCACTTGTATTTGATTTCGACCTGAGATGTCCGGCCTTTTATAGTCGCAAGTTTTGCGCCATCCATGTAAAGTGAGTGAAGAAAGTTTTTTTCTTATCACAGAAACGCAGGAAAATCAGGGGTTTGAACAGCCCGCTCGAGAATGCATGACAATCTATAACGCATTTAGTTGAAAAGCATAAGATGTATGTCGCTGCGGACGACATGAGACTGCCATTCGCAGTGGCACAGACAATGAACTTTTGAACGCGTGACGGCTGGGACGGGCCGCTCGAGTTCAAAGGTTGGCTTATGTTTTATGCTAGACTCGCCTGGCCTGCAGTCGTGATCGGAAGCTACCCACAGAGTCGGAAAAGGCAATGCGGTGTCATTTATGGGGCCAGTAAATCAACCAGTGGCTTCACAAAACACAATATAGACCTAAGTTGCAGGCATTTTTCTGAAGAGTATCGCTATTGATGGAAAACATAGAACTCGGTCTGTTTCATACGGGTGCCGTACTGTAGCCGGCGGCCCTACAGCCAAAAACGTACTGCAACTGTACTGTATGGGGCTAACTGGTACTGCAACTGTACTGTATGAGGCTAACTGGTACTGCAACTGTACTGTATGGCGCTGTACCAGAAAACGCCACCTTTTGAACCGTCATCTTAACATGTAAGCATCACAACTTTGTGAATGACTACCGTTACGTGTTTGCGGAGAAGTAGCAAGTAACGATGTAGTTCTGGCACCACGGCGAGATCGAACTGGATCAGACAGGGCGGAGGAGCGGCAGTCCACGGCGTGCTTACGAGAGCGGGGACTTTTCAGCTTGTGTCGGACAAACACGGTCTGTTTGTATCCAGTCTCGGGTGCCAGCCAAGAGCCATGTGAAACAGCTGTTAGACCTGTTTGGTGAAGGCAAGTGAGCAGTAAATAAACGGAAACTTCGGCCTTAATTAGCTCCAACAGAGGATCAATGGAGCGAAATGCCACGTGAAGACACACCGCCGCTAGGGCTTCTGTTAGTGTGTCAAATCAGCGGAAACAGAGCAAGCCCATCGATTGTAACCAGGGGCGGTTCTAGCGTCCGATTGTGGGAGGGTCCAAGGGCCGCGTTTGGGAAAAACTTGAGAGTTGGTGCCAGTTTCACTGAATCAAATCGAAACTGGTGAAAGTTTTGGAGATTTGCTCTAGGCATTCGCAGGGGCATAACCCCGTCGGTCCTCTTGGATCCGTCTCCGACTGTAGCACAGATCCGGCCTCGATTGCAGTAGAGGTCGCGCTTTACTGTAGCGCAGATGCGCCTTTGACTGTAGCAGTCTCAGGGACGCAACGTTCCTCTGCCGCCCGCGGTCCTGCTCCATTCGTGATTCGCACCGTGTTTGTATCGACGAGAACGGTATGCGGCCGACACCAAAACACAATTTCACTTTAACCACTATATCCACATAAGCCAGGTGACCTTGCGGTGGCGTCCCATCGACACGCATGCAGCCAGAGTCGCCCACATGCCTGATATTGGTGGACAACTGCCCTCCCTATGGATTCTGTTCCTTTCCCCAAAATACGTCCTAATCATTTACTTAAAGGGCGTACCTCCTTCACGTGACCTGCTGCATCATGCTCATTTGAGAACTGCTGTGCAATTTTGTACAACAAATATGGCCTTTACATGAACTCCGAAACTTGCGAAGTAAGACTTGACAGCTTTTAGTCGGTCTGACAATATTATTTGCCCCTGCCACCCTCATTTGGATGTATTTTTACTCTCCGATCCAAAAACCAAAAAAAATCCCCTCCAGTCGTTTGGACCCTCCGGCCCGAGCCGGTGTCAGCACGGCCCCAACATCCGGCCATCTGTCGGCCGCGGAGGACGCGGCCGACGCCGGGGTTCGCGTTAGAATAGCCGCCGCCGACGCCGCGCGGCTGGCGAATCCATCGCGGCGCGCCTCGTTGGCCCCGGCGCACCGGAACCGCGGCGGGCCGCGGCGGGCACGGCAGCGGCTCGACCGGCGGCCGGCGCGCGGCGCGCGCTTTATCGTCTCATCACATGGCATGTTTGATGTAACAGAAGAATGGCCGTCGACCACCGTCTAATTAGGGTCGCGCTCTGTTTGCCGTCCGTTGATTAGATAATCGACGGCACGGGCGGCGGTGGCCGCCGGCGGGGCGCACGTGCGCGGCCTGGCGCCCCGGCTGGCGGCGCTGGGACTGCCGCTGCCCTCGCCTCGACCGGCCGCCACGGAGGGGGTGTGCGCCGCCGGTTTTCATTACTGTGTCGGCGCTGGGCCCGGGTGACGGGGCGTCGGTGGTGGCTCGGCCGATCGCCTGGGTCCGCGGCCGGCTCGTCGGCTGCTCCGCCGGCCGGCCCCCAGGCCAGTGTCGGGGCGCGTAACCCGTGGTGCGGGTCGGCGCTCGTGCGGCTGGCGCTGTGTGACCCCCAGCTGCCGGCCCTCAGCGCTTTCAAGTGTGTTCAGTCGCTCCGTGCGCGCTGCCGGTCGGTCGCCGGCGCACCGAGCACCGCCCATGGCACTGCGGTGACGCACGCCGCTCGAGCCTCCTAGCCGGACGCCGGCTCGATAGGCGGCCCGCGGTCTGATCAGCCACTCGGCGCCGTCGCCGCCTGTTCGGCCGGCCGCCATTCGCGCTGTCGCCGTCGCCGCTCCACTTTCTCGGGACGGACGCGCTCGACGCACGTCACGGCGTCGCCGGACCGCCGACACGTCCGGCGCGTCCCGGGGCGCTGCCGGAGAGCGGCCGGCGCGCATTCTGTCACGTTCTGACCAGCGCTGCCGGGCCCGCCGGACCCGCCTGACCCGCTAGCCGCTGCTGGCTGACGCTGGCCGCGGAGGAGGGCGGCGCTGCCGAGCTGCTGTCGGCGGGGACAGAAGCACGGCGAACCGCAGGTTGGCTGAGGCGAGCGATGCGCTCAGTTCGTGCGTGACGTTTAACGAATAAGTAAGATATCAGGAAATATCAGGAAATTAAAGCAATGCGTGAATCGTGATTTTGACTCCTGACGTGGAGTCTCGATCGATGCCGGTAGGGTCTCAGGTCTTATTATCACCTCTACCATTTATTTCGCTCTTTGTCTTGCTCACTGGTCGTTAACTCTGCGGTACAGCTGTTTTTGTTGTTACCATCTCGTTTGGCTTCTCCTGAATTTCGGTTCCGTTCCGTACAGTTGCACTCATCAATTTGTCTGAGTGTCTATAGATAATTTTGCATTTGATAATCGTACTTACAGTAGGCAACCACGTCGCGCGATTGGTACGGCCAGTCGTGTAGCGTGATCGTCGCCAAATAGTTTGCTAATAACCCTGTAAGTTGTGCGATGCGTAGTGTGTGTGTGTAACCCACAAACGACCCGAGTAGTCTGCGCACCAAAGCGCAACCTCATATCCTCCCAGCTGTTCGCTGCCAGTCGGTGGACTCCACGGTGTCTTCAAACGGCCCGGTGCGCGGCACAGGCGGATGTCGCCACACGAAGGATTTAAGCTCGCCACCGCGCCGTTATCGTGCACACATCCTTCATTAGGCTGCGGCCGGTCCCCCATTGCCCTAATCTCCAGCCACAATCTGCAGATTATGCCATTATTGGAAAGCATAACAGGCGGCGCGTCGAGCCGATAGGGAACACAGATCTGATAGAGCCGATGGAGCCGATAGGGCTGGTCGGAATCACTCGATAGAACCAGCGACCCTGAGCTCTGTGTGCAGGCGAACTGCTCTTGGGCCCCTGGCCAGTTCACGACCTAGCGAGGTCATGCCATCGTGTTCCTTTCGCATTGATTTGTGTCGGTCGTTTCGTCGACCTGCTCGGCTGCCGGGATGGCTTTAAGAACCCCGGCGTTTTCTAGCAGGCAGCAGCCGCCCCTGGCCCCGAAGCTGCGCGCCGGGTAAAATAACTGCGTACATATGAACGCGAGTCCGCGGGTTATCCGCCAAGTCACATGGTGCAACCCTATGGCCTTGTTTTATGATTCTTTTAATGACCGCTCGTTCCCACATATGTGACGTAGCAACGCATGGCAGCAGCAGGATAGCATGCTTTCTGTCACACCACGTCATACCACCGATATGTCTGCGCTGCAGATGCTACGGAAAAGCAGGGTTATGCGTAAAACACATGACGGCCACATAGTGGCGCTTCCTGGTACCGCCGGAGGCTGCTCCTGTTCGCACCTCCTGATACCGCCGGAGACCTCCTGTTTGCATCTCCTGGTACTGCCGGAGGCTGCTTTTGTTCGCACCCCTTAGTACAGCCGGAGACTGCTCCTGTTTGCATCTCCTGGTACCTCCTGATAGGCGCGGCGGCCTGCTCCGCTGGTGTCTTACGACAAGAGCTCCATGTAGCGCAGCGACGGGATTGCACATCATATCCGGTGATTGCAGGTGATTGTGCCACACGAGAACCGTTGAAACACTTAAAATATGGATGCTCTACTTGATGATAGAAATTGTTCTGGATTTCAGGACTAATTGTGGATATGTCGATGCGCCGGCAGCGCTGATATTTACCCAGGCGGTGAATATCACATGGGGGTGTAATCTGGCGTTATAATGCAGCAGTGGTGAAACCTGAGACAAAAACAGTGCTTAGAGTCGAAGTCGAGGTGACCCCAGGGCTGATATTTATTTCTGGTTGAAGCTGTCAAGAACGACAGTCGCACCATCCTGGGCACTGCCGCTCTCAGTGGCACCCTGAGCTTAGCTGTATAGCTGAACTAAGCCAAGACTTCTCCAAAATGTTGTGCGTTTTGGGCGTGAGAGCATTAGCGGTGCGGATGTTGCGGTGTTTATAATCGGGACTTGCAAGCGACGCGTGTGTCAGCGGTGTGCAGCGGTGTCTGACGAGGCCCACAATAGACCAAGACCAAGCTGACGGTGAAGGCGACCCGTAAACCTCTGTTATGTGACGCGGCCCGGGCGCGCGGCCTGCTGGGCACCTCACAGGTCGAGCCCCCCCCCCTTCCCCTCCCCCGCGGCCGGCCTCGCGCCGACGTCCGGGCGACCGGCACGGGGGCGGGGATCCTCTCAGCCCCGTGTGGCCTGGGCGGAGCAGCATGACGGCACACAGTAGCGGGCCGGCAGGGCTGGCCGCTGCACACAGACCGCCTGAGCACTCGCGCCGGTGGCACGCAGCAGTGTGACGAGGGTGGGGAGTCGCAGCAGCGGCGTGCCGTCCGATGTGCGTTATAACACCTGCGCGTTATCCCTCCATCGGCGGACGGTGGCTGGCTGTTGGCTGCTGGGGCGCCAGCTGCACGCCGTATCATTGTGCGTCGCCGCGACGCCTGTGTACTCGCTATATGTCGCCTCCGAGGGCTTCCGCTGCCGACCTGACATGGCCTTCCTCCGACAGCGACCGGACGAGCTGTCCGACTTCCTCCACCGCGTGGAGACGAGCATACTGAGCGGCCAGCACCGCTCCGGCTCCGGCTCCGGCTCCGGCTCCGGCTCCGGCTCCGGCTCCGGCTCCGGCCACGGCCCCGGCTCCGTGTCAGGTTCGGCCGGCTCTGGCCCGGCCTCCCCGACACCGGACGGCACGCGTTCGGTGTCTCCTGCGCCGGAGCGGTCGCGCTCGGTGGCCACCCAGACGAGCCCGGCCTCCTCCAGCGCGTCCTCCTGGTCGGACCTGAGCGAGCGAGCGCCGCCCGAGCACGCGGCAAACCCTGCCGACCGGCCTGAACGTGTCGCTGGCCCGCCTGGTACGCGCGAGGCCACCACCTCCATGTCGCGGCGGCCGGCGCGGCGTCTGCTGCGCGCCCGCTCCGAGGAGCCGGGCGAGCCGTCCGCCCCCGGCTCCGCGGCCCTCCACTGGCAGAGCGCCGAGCAGATGCACCGCCTGGCCGAGGACGGCAGCGTGGCCGGCGGCATGCGGCGACCGCTGGCGCTGCAGCTGGTGGAGCCGGCGCGGACGCGGCAGCGCTGCGGCCGGCGACCGCCGTCGCCGACCGTGTCGCCACTCAGCACTCCTGGCGATGAGCGGCTGCCGCCGCTGGCCGCCGACGACAAGCCGCCGCTGGCCACCGCCGGGCGGCAGCACCTGCGCCGCCGCAGTTCGCACCTTTACCTGGAGATGGCAGCACGCATGTCGTGTTCGGAGCCGACGCTGGATAAGCCGGCCGCCGGGCCGCAGCGAGTGCTGCAGAGCGACTTCAACAAGGTGAGACGGCAGGGTTGCTGGCTTCAGCTCCGGAGCTGCTGGCTCCAGCTCCGGAGCTGCTGGCTCTGGCACAAACCGTTGTAGACGGGTTGTTATGCTCGATGCTTAATAGTGGCACATGTTTGCGTTCCATGCATTAAAGATGCGTTAGTCTCTTGTCATTTTACCATTTGTAATTTTTGGTATTGCTTTTAGTTCATTATTTCTAATTTCGTCGGGTGTCGTGCTCATGGGCTCGAGGTATGGCTCCTCTGGCTGGAGCAAGTAACTTAAATTGGATATGGTTGTTTGATCAGACCGGTTTTGGTTTCAAAATTTCCTATTCTCAATAATTACGCCACTTTTCGGTATATGAATGGCATAGGGGTGGAACAAAAAAGTGTGGCCACCGATTGGGAACCAAAATTCTAACGAAACTTTCGTTAGTACCTTTTTCATGTGACCAGACCATGGTAGCACCAATTCAGCATGTGGAGTGCTGGTGGCTGTGGTTTTACCGCTCCTGTTCTTCTGTAGTTTGGCTTGTTCTGCCGTTACAATCAAAAATTTTGATGTCTATTTGGGCTAATGCCACTAGTGGACGGGGAAGGCTGATACACTCTTTGTTGATTCACCATTGGGGCGTTCTTAACGACTACGTGAAACACTTACCATAAGCAGCAAGTTTGAGCGTTGCAACCCCCCCCCCCCCCCCCATGAAATCGCAGCACTGTCACCACGGGAACGCGACGAACGGCCGCTGACGTCCGCAGTCCTCATGCGGGAGGCCGACGGCCAGGCGCTGACGTCCGCAGTCCTCACGCGGGAGGCCGACGGCCGGGCGCTGACGTCCGTAGTCCTCACGCGGAAGGCCAACGGCCGGGCGCTGACGTCCGCAGTCCTCACGCGGGAGGCCGACGGCCGGCGCTGACGTCCGTAGTCCTCACGGGGGGGCCGACGGCCGGCCGCTGACGTCCGCAGTCCTCACGCGGGAGGCCGACGGCCGGCGCTGACGTCCGCAGTCCTCACGGGAGGCCACGGCCGGCCGTGACGTCCGTAGTCCTCACGCGGGGGGGGGGGCCGACGGCCGGCCGCTGACGTCCGTAGTCCTCACAGGGAGGCCGACGGCCGGCCGCTGACGTCCGTAGTCCTCACGCGGGGGGCCGATGGCCGGGCGCTGACGTCCGTAGTCCCCCACGGGGGGCCGACGGCCGGCCGCTGACGCCCGTAGTCCTCACACGGGAGGCCGACGGCCGGCCGCTAACGTCCGCAGCCCTCACGCGGTAGGCACCGGTTTCAATCTTGTCGCGCCATGCCCCCGGGTATTTTTCATGCCGGCCGGAGTAGCCGTCACTCCGTGACGGTTGCAGAGCTGCGCGCCCGCTGAAAATGGTCCGCATCTTCAGGTGAACGGGAAGCACGCCGTCCGAAAGCGCAGCACTCGGTGATCACAGATATGCGTGTCATTTGAAAAAGTGTGGGGATGTTTTTTTCGAAATTGCGTATGTGGTTTGTGTTGTGCATTATATTAACTATGTAACATCCCATGCATCTGTGCCATGCTTTGGTGTTTTGGTGCGCTCTGATTATAGCTTGTAATTGACCACTGGATTATTGGTCACACAGGCCCTTGTTCTTTTTTCAACTCATTTTAAGCTGTGGGCGTGGTTTTTCCACTGTCTGGTTGCAATTCATCTACCCAAGGGATGAAAAATAACCGTTTCAAAGTAGCAGGTGCCAACTAAGTCAAGTCTGTACGCCAATTTCCATTCACGTGTGCGCACCAAGGCAATACACTGTTTGCCAACCCAAGGGTCGCTTTACTGTGGACGCGGCGGCTGGTCGCAAATCCCTTGTACTTTTCCTCGGCGGACGTGTAAAAACTTATCAAATGCTATAATGTCTGTATGCGCGATGCGGTCAAAGGGACGTAAGGGTCGCATTTTGCGGGCCCACAAGGTCGTCGAGGGCGCATTGAAGTCGGGCCTCTCGCCTCAGGTTTCGTTGTGACTATTTTCATTTGCGTTAGGTCAATTGCTAGTTGTCCTGGTTTTACGGAATTCTGCATTTGTATTACACGTTATCTAGCACGTCGAGAGGTATGGCGCATCTGGGGTCCTCTGGCATCTCACATGCGATGCCTGGTTTTGACGGCGCTTATTCGTGTCAGCGGAACTACCTATGTAAAATTGTCATGGTCTCTTGTCAAAGGCTTAAAACTACCATTGATTTTCAAAACCGGGGTAACGCCATTTTTAAAGCATTTCATTAAAGCGCAAGGTATGGCAGTTAATATGTGAAGAAACAACATATTTGGTTCCTTGGTGCAAGCGTGGACCATGGCTCTACCTCTGATATCTCAAATATTTTTATAACGCCGTGCGTAGCATGACACAAGAGGTCTATTCTTGTTTTCTGAGAAAGCTAGGTTGCTCCTAGCACTGTTTGCGACACGAAATGGCATGCTCCCTTGCAGTGCACCATGTGGAATAAGACCCCTTTTTGATGGTACCAAAAACAAAGTTCCTAATTTAAGTGACCTATTCAACTTCTGTATTTGTTATATCTTGTGTATTTATTAAATACTGTGTATTTGCTACCAAATCGATTGAATTCAGGTTCCGAGTGCAATGCGGTTCTTTAGACATTGCAGTCGGTCAAGCGTCCATGTTCGTAGTGGACATCACTAATGAACTAATTAATTATTCCAGAGCTTTTATATCGTGCGTCATTGTGTGGTATAGAGCACTGCGGTGACATCCTTTGGGAGAAGTGCGCTACTTAATGTTTTAGTTTATGCTTACGTGAATCATTGAAGTATGTCGCTGTAAAGGAGTCCTCGACACTTCTGCTGTGGCCGCGCTGGTCCGGTCGGTTGACGCCATATTGCTTCGTTCTGTTTCAGAGTACCTCAAGCGCTACCCGATCATTCTCAGCCAAGCAGCTGGCAGGTTAGTCCGCTTTGCTTTGGTGGATACACTCGCGCCAGTTCCCGAAGATACCCAATGTTACGCATTTCTTTGTTGGCGAATACGCCGTTCTTGACGGCGCGACGCCAGTGTCCCTGGCACGATATGCCTTGGGTACTGGGCCGCAACCAGCCCACTGCTTGGCGACCGCTGATGTACGCCTCAGAAACACAGCCCTCCCTTATGTGCAGCCAGTGATGCGCTTACGGGGCGCGGCGCTGTCACGTGCACAACCACCCTCCTTCGCTTCCGGAGATTGGCAGTAATTATCGGGAGCTACGTCATGCAGATGGCTGAACAGCGTTCACCTTTCGCCAGCCTCCTGCCGTGAGCGCGGCTCGGATGGCACGTGTCCTTGCCCAGTCAGGCACGCGCGTGACGTGCAGGGACGCCGCACATGTGCACGTGCCACGCACCTCTTGGAATCGGCAGCGTCTTCCTGCAGTGGCATTTTATGCATTATCTTGCATTTGTAGAGCATCCTGGCTCCACCGATAGACTGGTGGAAAAACCAGTGCGATGCACATTGGTTTTTGGTCACGATGAATTTTATATTCCGTGCTGCCGCCAGCCTCCGACCGGCGACTAAAAAACGACCACGTGCGTCGCGCCTGCATATCAGCATGGAGGAAATTGGGAAATTGATATGCACTTCTTTTGATGTGTGTGTTACATAAGGCTGCCAATACGCAGGCCCGAAGAGAGAGCCGTGCAACGCAGGACGAGAGAGCGAATCTAGAGAGAGAGAGAGAGAGAGGAGAGAGGAAGATAAGAGAGAGATAAGAGAGAGAGAGAGAGAGAGAGAGAGAGAGAGAGAGAGAGAGAGAGAGAGAGGAGAGAGAGAGAGAAGAGAGAGAGAGGAGAGGAGAGAGAGAGGAGAGAGAGAGGGGAGGGGGGGGGAGAGGGAGAGGGAGGGGGAGGGGGAGGGGAGAGGGGGGGGGGGGGGAGA